TATTAAATGAATATAACACTTAATAAATGTCGTGCGTCCGAAACGCTTTTCTGAATTTACCTTCACCAGAAACGCTCAAACTTAAACATTTAAAAGAAAGGGATATAGAAATACGTAGACACGTTAAGAGCTATATGACCAACATAGAATTTAAAAGTATAGTCAAAGTCGTATATCCATCTGGGACAACCATACACCATCATTAACATTGACCAAATGCTTGTATATACAAGTAACGCTTTATAAATAATTTCTCAGTCTTACTAAGAAATTGGCAGTTGGCAAAGCGAAATCTGAAATCGTCATGTTTTTCATAGATCCTAGTTTGAAGTCGTCGATCCGTGCTAAAAATTATCCCGATATGAATTACACCTGCTATGTATCATAATATCCTTACTTTCAAGCTCACTTGGATATATGAGATGCAAGCATTCATCATAAACATAAAGAAAGAATAGAGAAAATGACAAAACAATAAACTGAAGATCACCCATCCAGACTCTCATAGTTATTATAATTTATATATTGCAGTATTAAATTTTCATTCTAAAACCAGAAATCAAATCAGAGGAATAATGTTTAGAAAAATAATAGTAAAATAAACATACATGAGAACGACTGACATGGGTTACACTACTTATCAGCAACACCAAAAAGCTCTGGGGCAAGTATCTTTTAATAATATTGTAGTTCTTCAGATCATCTTAATATAGTAATAAGAAGACGAATGATTGCCAATGAGACAACTTTCCACCAGTAAATGTTAGAAATGACGTACAAGTTAAGATCATATTATCTTTTAAGAGTGTATGTAAAAAGTAAAATAACAAAAATACCGAACTCCAAGGAAAATTCAAAACGGAAAGTCCCTTAACAATTGGCAAAATCAAAAGCTCAAACACATCAAACGAATGGAAAACAACTGTCATATTCCAGACTTGGTACAGGGCATTTTCTCATGAAAAAAATGGTGGATTAAACCTGGTTTTAAAGCTAGGTAAACCTCTCACTTGTATGACAATCGCATAAAGTTCCATTATATTGACAACAATGTGTGAACAAAACAAAAAGACATAATAGGTTAAAATGTAAAAAATAGGGATACAGCAGTCAATATTGTGTTATAATCTCAATCACTATAAAAACAAACAAATATGTCAACAAATAAAAACAAAATGGCATATAGACAAAGCACATACGCAACATTCAGTGAAACACAAGATTACAAAAAATGACAACATCACAACAACACCATGGCGGGATGTACAAGTACCGAGCCACGTCTAAAGGATATTACCAAAAATGGACCAAACAGTAAATGTTAATAATTTACAAAGACAAATAAAAGAACACTATATAGAGAATATTATATGGCCTTTTCAATATCACATCCGTATCAACCCGAGACGCCAATATAATCACAAGAGCTCTACTCGAGGGATTATATTGGTTAAGGGATGATACGGTGTGTAATATTGAAAAAGCCATATCATATACATTTTATTATATATCTCAAGTAGATGTTTTTCATGTGACGTGACGTCATACAGATTAGGGGTTTGATGAAGACTTTGCAACGGTGACTGATGTCGATGACGTGACGTCATACAGACTAAGGGTGTGATAAAGCCTTTGCAACCGTGACTGATATCGATATCATCACGGATGGCTGATACAGAACGATTGCCATTGATTGTATTACACATACACTTAACATGTGTTTACTACTAAGTGTATAATAACACGTAATTAAGATGATGAACAACGTCACCATAGAATCTATAAATCAAGACCATCATGTATTATTTGTGAAGTTGATACGGAATATTTATCAACAAGGTCTTGGTATCTTACGATGAACATTTTCAGAAAAAGGACGAGACGTTCTTTAACATAACCCTTGCTCATCAACTTTTTGCTCAGACACTGGTACGTTTTACAAAGTCTGAGTAGTAGCTGCAAGCTCTTGAACACCGAATGGGTTGGGAAATGTATATCCCTTATGCAGGTGAAGTTGGTATATTGCTACTAAGGTGGGGGAAATTGATAATTTCAAAATTAAAATCGTCTCGTTTGTCATAGATTCTGGTAAATGTGATATTTTGATGACTGGTCTTCCTTAAAATTCCAGTTGCACGCGCCATTTTCGAGGTACTCGTCTTAATGTAATTTTTGCACATTTTAGTTGGCTATAAACTTGTTTATGTCCCCGTAACTAAAAGTGAGGGGGGGATATTGTTTTACCCCTGTCCGTCCGCCCGTCTGTCCGTCTATCCGTACATTCCATTATGGGCATATAGTATTTCCAGATAACTCCTCCTACATTTTGAATGCTAGGAAGAATCTAGGAAGTTTTCACTTTGCTGGCTGTTTGTACATATATTGAAGGTGTGCATGTGGTCAGGGTTTTGATTTTTATTGATATTTGCTCTTTTGGGAGATGGTTTAACTTTGTCATTTTTTGGAGTATTTACTTGCATAAGAGGTGCATAGCGTTTCCGGATAACTCCTCCAACAGTTTGAATGCTAGCTGTTTGTACATATATTGAAGGTCTGCATGTGGTCAAGGCTTTGATTTTTATTGATATTTGCTCTTTTGGGAGATAGTTGAACTTTGTCTTTTTTTGGAGTATTTACTTGCATAAAAGGTACATAGCGTTACCGGATAACTTATCCTACAGTTTGAATGCTAGGAAGTTTTAAGTTTGCTGGCTGTTTGTACATATATTGAAGGTGTGCATGTGGTCAGGGCTTTGATTTTTATTGATATTTGCGCTTTTGGGAGATAGTTTAACTTTGTCATTTTTTGGAGTATTTACTTGCATAAGAGGTGCATAGCGTTTCCAGATAACTCATCCTATAGTGAACCATAGACCTATGTGCTTCCATGCTCAACTTTGTGTATTTTAAAATAACACTTTGCATCTGCAGGGGCATCATTTGTGTCTCCAAGACACAATCATATCTCAAAGAAAGTCCTACATTGACTTTTTTATAATTCAGTTACTTCAGAGTTGAGTGCGGGGCATCACTTTTTCTAGTTTCACTTGTAATTTAAGTTAAAGTTCTTAGACTAGTCATGAAAATACTTATCGTCCTCTTATTTTATAATATAGACCTTGATGTACATGTCTTCTTGCATATATATATAACTGTGATCAAAAGAATGGGAAATGTTGTCCCAAGGGACATTCCAGGGAGCTAGTCTGACTATCGATAACGTTGTTTCATATCTAGTAGTCGAATTAAAATTAAAATAAAAATATTTCAGTCAACTTAAAGTTTGAGTCTGGTTTCAAGTTATATGTCATTCTTTGAAAAGTTGCGTTAGATCCCGAATTTGAGCTTGTATTAGAAATCGAGTAAGAGATGCAAATTGACTTCAAGTATAACATAAAAAGAGGTTAATACATTTGTGTTCAGCATAAACTATCTGATTATCAAACAGCTAGTGGCATCAATGCAGTCATTTTATAATGATATTTTACTGATTAAAAGAGAGAGAAGATATCAAGGGGAGTAATAAGAATCATAAATAAAAATAGTCATTAACCTGATGTTCAGTGGTTGTCGTTTGTTGATGTGGTTCATAAGTGTTTCTCGTTTCTCGTTTTTTATATAGATAAGACCGTTGGTTTTCCTGTGTGAATGGTTTTACACTAGTCATTTTTGGGGCCCTTTATAGCTTGCTGTTCGGTGTGAGCTAAGGCTCCGTGTTGAAGGCCGTATTTTGACCTATAATGGTTTACTTTTATAAATTGTGACTTGGATGGAGAGTTGTCTCGTTGGCACTCATACCACATCTGCTTATATCTAATTAACATGGATAAAACCGACGAAAATACCCAAATACTGCGAAGGGAACCAAGTCGTCACAAAAAGGTAAAACATGCTACGCGTAGGAACAAGTCATCAATAACCTAGGCTTTAACATAAAAAAAAATACCAGTGCCAATTAGCGCGAGCAGAACTTCAATATTGGTCTTATCAGGAATAAAGGCATATATTTTTTAGTCGGGTTTGTGTTGCTCAGTCTTTAGTTTTCTATACTGTTGTTTGTCTTTGGTCTTTTCTTTTTCTTTTTTTTTGCCATGGCGTTGTCAGTTTATTTTCGATTTTTTTATATAGATAAGACCGTTGGTTTTCCTGTTTGAATGGTTTTACACTAGTCATTTTTGTGGCCCTTTATAGCTTGCTGTTCGGTGTGAGCTAAGGCTCCGTGTTGAAGGCCGTATTTTGACCTATAATGGTTTACTTTTATAAATTGTGACTTGGATGGAGAGTTGTCTCGTTGGCACTCATACCACATCTGCTTATATCTAATTAACATGGATAAAACCGACGAAAATACCCAAATACTGCGAAGGGAACCAAGTCTGACCAACAAGAACTTCACTAAAAATCGGGGGTGAAATCAGGTGTCACAAAAAGGTAAAACATGCTACGCGTAGGAACAAGTCATCAATAACCTAGGCTTTAACATAAAAAAAAAAATACCAGTGCCAATTAGCGCGAGCAGAACTTCAATATTGGTCTTATCAGGAATAAAGGCATATATTTATTAGTCGGGTTTGTGTTGCTCAGTCTTTAGTTTTCTATACTGTTGTTTGTCTTTGGTCTTTTCTTTTTCTTTTTTTTGCCATGACGTTGTCAGTTTATTTTCGACTTAAGTTTGAATATCCCTTTAGTATGTTTCGCCATTCTATTATTAAATCTGCTAAATGTACAATATTCAAAATAATCCTATCTTGGATAAATTTGAATAGAAAAACCACAATAATGTGTTTAAAAATGAAACTTAAAATTTGAATTTTTAAGCAAATTGTAAAAGAAGTAGTGTTGTATTATAGACAAGGAGAATTGGTAAATAGCCATTTTGTTGCTACGGACCAATACTGTTTTTCGGCTATCTTAATTTTCAGATCATTACAGGGGTATCACAATTCACGGTATTGATTTAGATTTCTAGGAAATGTATGGTCTTCAAATCAAATAAACGACTAAGTGAAATATTTTATTTAAAAATAAACAACATTTATATCACAGTTTTCCCCCAGCACAATTCATGCTCAATATATTACATAACATGTACTTATATTCTTGATGCTTCTGATTATCATTTACCATCAATTTTTTTTAATTATAAACACTTTGATTCTTGATGAGGCTGTTGTTGTCGATTACTACTCTATAAAATACAGTTAGAACTGTTAAGTGTTCATTGTTTGGGTCGAACTCGCGTCAGAATTGTCATATTTATTAGTAAATATTTGAGCTCGCAGAACTGGTAACAAATGATCCAGTTTTCTGAGAAATACATATAGCATATGAACAAATGACATTTACCCCAAGAAAAAAAATATGTGGATTTTTACATTAAGCCTAAAGAAATGAAATACATTGTCGACAATACTAGAGAATCATTTAATCCCAATCTTGTTTTAAGGGTCTAAGAAAGATCTTGTAAGTTATATACCAAAGGAAGCATACGATCTGGTGTAAGGTATATAACAATTTAAAAATGAATGACATAAATAAGCAAACGATTCAGTAAATGAATATTTTAAAATAAATAAATAAAATTTTCCTTATATTTGTATAAATAGAAGAGATAGATAAAATTACAATGGAATGTAAGAGCTACAAAAAAAATAAAGTTTAAAAAATACGCTATCTAAATCTAATATCACAACAGTATCTTGATTTTTTATAAATTAATTCTTCTTTAAATATATAGAATTACCACAATATCAATAATTGGTTCCAAAATATTGTTCTACATTGTAATTATTATCTCAAAATTTCGAGAAATACAATATACGATGTTCGTGAAAGTTTCAAGATGTCTCCATCCAATTGCAATACGCAGTGCAAATATAGAAAATGTTAATATGTATTGTCGTACGGCATAACATTCCTTTTGCTATGCTATATTTTTTTTCAAATTTTACTCTTACCATTCAATTTCGTTTTAACAACGTCATAATACTTACTAACAATCGCATATATTCAGTTGTTTACTTTCGAAAAGGAATATCCACAATTAGTATGGAACTTTCCATCTTTTCAGTCTTTTATCACCTCTAATTTCACTTCTTATCATTCATCGATACAAATACAAATAAAATAAAGTTTCAAGGTTCTTGTTGAGCCTTTTCGTCATTATTAACATTATGTACAAAAAATATAAGAAGTAAGAAAGCATGTTACCCTCACCTGTCTACATTCAATGTCAACAATGATTACATTGCAACCTTATTAAATTCTCAAGTTTGACAGGTTTTGCAAGAAAATTTTCCTTCTATTTTAAGCCCACCAGAAATAGTTCTGTTTTCCATCTGATCGGAATGAAAGATGACAGATTGATTGTTTATTGTTGCTTACTTAACCTTTAGTGGCAGAATGAAAGTGGAATTAAAAAAACTTTATATAGTGATTCAAATAAGCATAGCCATATATGCCAATCTCTCTAAATTATTTTTCCTATCAATTTTGAAGGGTTTACTTTGGTTTCAATATGAAATTAAAGATTTGCTAATTTGATCAGTGTTCTTTTTTCAGCTATATTTTGATTAATTTATTTACTTTACATTGTAGTTAAACTTATAATGATTTATTATTTTTCTTCCAACATAGCACATATTTTTGTTCCATTTATATTAAAGCCATCTTATTACTACTTATTACAAGATTTAGTTTAATTTCAGATGATCTCCCCTGACAGTTGTTTTTTTTCCAGTTTAGTTGTATCATTAGCTTTTGATTATTAATTTGACATTTATTTTGTTGCATATAATGAGTATTGATACATAGCAGACACATCTTCATCAAGAATTCCCATTGATGACCATGGATTTTTTTTATTGATTCTGATGATTTGATTTTTTTAAGATAGAAAGTATAAAACGACTGGACAAGTATAGAAGATTAATTAACTTTGTACTTCAGAGGAGATTTGAAAATTGAGAAATGAGGATCAAGTAAGGCCTCATGTGACCTTCTTTTATGAAAATATGATTAGTACATTATACCTGGAGATATTATACTGATCCTAAGATTGGTCACCTGCATGATTTCTGAGAGAGAAAAAAAAACAAAATGTTATTTTCGCAGGCTTTCATTAGTAATCAACCCAACAAAATAGCTGCCATACTTGCCAACTAATTAGCAACAAAAAAAAATCAAAATTTGGCTCAGAGTTTCAGACGAAGCTTAAAATGTTTGTAAACTACGTACGCAAAGTGATGATAATAACTCATCATGAGCATATTATCAAGGGGAGCGAAAAAAAGAAAGTCAACGATTATATAAAAATAACAATAAGGTGATCATTTCAGTTTATATCACAGTCAAAATGACATGGACGGTCCTTTTCTAGATTTTAACAATGAAGGCAACAGTTTATTGCAAGTGCTGTAGTTTTCGATGATGTTTGAATATTCGATCTCATTTTGATTATTACTTATAGAAAACCAGTTATCCACAGTTTTTATATAGAGATTACTATCAGTACACATACTACTTCGATAAACAGACGAGAGTGAGTGTCTCCTGTGAATACTGAGTTACCTGCAAGAAAAATATATCGTTCAATATATAACAAACAGTTACACCCAAATATAAACTCAAATTATTTTGAACTAGGTTGACGTCCGAAAACAAAAGTTCAAATATTTATTTCCCGTTTTTGAAGTTGCATGTGTTTCTTAACTATGTATTTTTTTTGTTGAAACTATATGTGTCTTGTAAATTATTGAATGCCAAGTCAATCTCAAAAGAGAAAAAGCAACAACAAGAAAATACATGTTCGACTATAGACTGGATAGACTATTGCAAGAATAGATTTACGAGGTGCATAATGTGTATATACTTGAAGATTTTTCTTATATACATACCTGCCGAAAAAGCGTTTATAAGACACTGAGTAGCATCACTTGAAGAAAGACAAGCTGAAAAAAAAACATCAAATTAATTTTGAAAGTTAAATTTGTCCTAGATATTAATATGTTAGTTCGTTTCCTTTATAACATGTTAATTTCTTTGTTCATTAAAAACTCTTTGGATGTTTTTGATAAATTACGTGCTTTTGATAATCCTTTCAATTCGGTTGCCAGTTATGACTTTTCAACACTCAACACTACAATTCCACAATATCTTATCAAACAGATGTTTTTGTATAAAGTCAAATGGAACTGTAATGAGATGACTTAAGCTATTTTTTTTTTCTCCTTGAAAACACTTATGTACGTTTCGTCAATAAAGTTTATTGACAGGTTTCAGTTATTCATATGGACACTAATTGCGCCCCTAGTATAGCAGACTGGCAGGAGCGTAGCTACCGTCTTAATGAAGTGGAATCACAAACTAAAGGGCGAGGGGTTTTTGGGGCCGCCTAAGGCACCCAGTAGTTCCAGGGCAAAGCCCTAGTAGGGGGCCAGGGGAAGATCAGCATTTATAGCGTTTCAAAACAATCACAACCATAATAAAACTTGTACATTTTTGTTGTGGGGTTTTTTTTGTCAACTATTTGTTTAACTTCGAGTCGAATGAAGACTAAAACATTGTCGTTTGCGTTTTTTGTACGCCGTGAGAGCTTTTAAAATCACTGAGATTTGTTCCATATGCTAGTATTTGTATTGAGCAAAGTAGATGTATAAAAAAAAACAAACAATAAACAAAAACACAATATTATATGTGGAGTTTCTGTTAGAATAAACATCTTTGGATACCAGATACTTGATGGACACATTCTCCAATATTTTGCTGAACATTTGGATTTAGATGTTTAAAAATTCTGTGTGTAAACTCTACAAGAGAGAGATAAGAATTTCTAATTTTACGCAGTTAGGAATTCTCGAACTTTTTCAGAGGAAATTGTACTTTGATCGCGATCTTTCAGTCATGATCTGCGTTTGTTAATTATCCAGCTTATTAACAAATACATGTGCATTCGACCAGTTGTATGGCAATATCTAGATGATAACAGTGAAGATACATGTGTTAAAAGTTTGGTGTTTTTTTGAACAAGAATCAGCAGTTTAGTGTCCAACTCGGACAGAAAATTTATTATAAAATTGAATGACCAAATAGTCCAGTAAAACGAGTTAGAATTAACACTTTATTTAAATGCTTTTACAATCAACTATTCGTATAACCGGTCCATACAGAAACGACTTCGAATTATCGAATCTATATACAAGATGTTTTTTCTAAAATAAATACATAATACATGTACTGGAAAATGTGTACTTTCTTTATAATAACAGCAGTTCCAACTTCTCATCTATTAGTTTACGGAAACTATTGATTGATCGAATGGTTATTAATGCCCAGTAGCAAATATTACATGCACACCAGGACTGGAATACGTTTACGTATTGTGAAAATGAAGTATTCGTGTAGTCAACACCTACATACTTGGTCAATTTTGAACTAGTTCACAAGGTAACAGTCATTATTCCCGGATCGATACGAGTTGAAGAGTCTTCGTTCTAGTAAGATGTGTGCTTTGGGGCGAAGCGGAAAATAATATTTTTCAAGTTTTTTTGTTAACCCTAAAGGGATTATGTTTTTTTTTGCACTCAAGGCGAGTATACGTTATGGTGGTGGTACCGACAACTATGTAGCTTGTTTTTTTTTCTAAACAATGTCCATAATATAAAAAGTTCCGCCATGTTTACACCAATTGTATGTATTTATCGTACACATGTATACATGTCTTACAGGATTAAAAATTTCGTTGCATGTGTATTCCTCTTGCTCTTATTCTTTGTGTAGTTTTTAAAATGCATACTTAAAAAGACTAATTCCTATAAGTTAACTTTGTACCTCACTCTCTCTCTCTCTGTTTTATTTTTAGTGAAAACGACGTAGATGCACGTGCTGTCACGCCTCCGGGTAGCTACGCCCCTGACTGGTTCCTGTACAGTTTAGTAAAGATCCGTCTAAATTACATTTGATTGGTGAATTTAAAAACACTTACAGTTATAGTTACCTTGATGATATTTCTGCTTTAAATAATCACTAATAATATAAACGGTATCAATTTTCCTGCATCAGATGAGCATTTCGACAACTAATGTCTCTTGAACCATGTTCGAGACCAAAATTTTTGAAAATCCTTAACCTAATACAAACGTTGAAAAGCTGCCCAACCTAAAGGGCATAAAGTATAGCCAAAACCAGATAAGGAATCAGAGTATTCTCTAATTGTACTGTGGAATTTTACTCAAGGGAACTTTCTTTAAATAAACTGAATATTAACAGCAATAATTGTTCTTTTAACTGTCACAGATGTCTGTCCCAAGTCAGAGGCCTGTAATTCAGTCGTTGTCTTTGGTTGCTGTCTCTTATTTCTGTTTTTCGTTTATCGTTTTGTCATAAATTAGGTCGTTGATTTTTCCGTTTGAATTCTTCCACATTTTTTTCATGTCGGGGCCTTTTAAAGCTGACTATACGGTATGGTTTTGCCTATTGTTGTAAGCCTTGCCTGTGACCTACAATTTCTAAATCCACGTTATTTGGACTCTGTTGGATACTTGTCTTCTTGGCAATCATTCCACATCTCCTTATTTTATACCAATTATTTTCCAAGAAGTAACGTCAGAAGTAATAATTTAAGAAGTATTACAAAGGAGTTGTTTATAGTCTCTAGTTTTAATTAAAGTGATGGGATGTATTGATATATACATGACAATTGAACAATTTAAATGTCAACTTACAACCAGCTCCAACACTGTTCTTCAAACATGCCAAGGCTGTGTTCTGATTTGATATTAAACATTCTATAAAAATAAAATAATATGCAACTAAAGTACACAAAGCATACCGTACCTCTTTTAGAGTACAGATTATCAAATCATAGGATAAACAGTCTTCCATTAAAGAAAAAACTTCTTTTTTGTATGAATTGAAATAAAAGTTTATTTATTTCATGTTGAAACTACTTATATATTATAATAGTACATATCAGTTAGTGATGAATTATTTTCTAGCAAAGTTTTAAATCGGGTTTCGAAAGTTACAACATTTCGTTTTGTCTTCACTTTTGATTACCGATTTATTAGATAGTCAATCATACAACCTAAATTTAATTCTAAATAAGTCTAAAATTTAAAGGATGGTTTTTAAGGGCAAGTTACTTAGAAAACAAGTTAAACTTCACCCGTGACACAATAATGTGTCTGTTTGCAGTCAGTAATCTTGTCAATGATTTTCAATGGGTTGTAACTTTCGTTTTTATTCATATTTAAATTTGGTGTTGGTGTCAGATCTTCGGTCCTCTCATACGAATCTATTTATAACTTGCTTGAATTCATTTAAAAACTTTTAACGATTTCCAGTTTACCATTTATCTTGATGTAGGTCCATCATTGAACTTGAAGGGGTCATGTAGACGCCTTCTTGTTGCTTTTTATAATGGTGTTGTTGGATTGCAAGAATTGCAAAATTTATTCGCTGTTAGCGACAAACAAAATATTTAAACTTACCTCCATACGTATTTTCCATGCAAGTTTCATTAACCATGGTCGAATTTACACACGCTGATATAAAAAAACAGACATAATTCGTAAACACTTGATAATTTTTTGTACACACCAAGAATATAATTTTTTTTTTTTTTTTTAGTTTTGTTTCACATAAAGTTAAAAATAAAAACTCCAGAATGGGAGGTGCGCAACTAAAATGTGAAATTGAAATCGATTATGTTTCCAATTCTGAAAAAAAATGGAATAAAAAGAGAGGCGAATGATACCAAAGAGACATTCAAACTCATAGGTCGAAAATAAACTGACAACGCCATGGCTAAAAAAGAAAAAGACAAACAGACAAACAACAGTACACAAAACAACATAGAAAACCAAAGACCGAGCAACACGAATCCCACCAAAAAACTGGGGGTGATCTCAGATGCTCCGGAAGGGTAAGCAGATCCAGGTCCACATGTGGACCCCGTCGTGTTGCTCATGTAATAATTAATCAATCAATTCAATAAGAGCAGGTTAACAACTTCAATATGTGTGCAATGTTTCTATAAGGTTTCAGATATATGGATAAAAAACTATCGGAGGAGTTGATTACACTAAATTGGTACCCACCTTTCAGCAAGCCTACCATCCAAACGCCAGGTACCACAACACTGTAAGCCGATTTTGCACCTCGTAAAACCCGGTTAAAAAAATTGAAATGTGTACCACGTTATCCTAAATGTTAAGATTCCGTGAATACTTAAATGCTAATAAATATACCGGTATATACTTTCAACTATATGTATGCAATGTGTGAGAATCTTGCTAAACTTGTTCCATATGCAAATCGTCTTTTATAATTGTATAAAAGAATTGTGTTCTTAAAAAGTACCCTCAAATCAAACCGAGATGTTTTACTGATTTCTTATCTGCGACTCATTTAAAAAAAAGTCGTGAACATTTCAGCATAACTTACGATTAAATTTAGTCGTTAGATTTTTCTGAAAAGAGAACCCTTATTTTCCCCGTTTAAAATGCGATGTTAAAATGTTTTCCAAACAACCGCCTTCTGTGCAATGTTTAATTGCTTGTCAGGTGGTCTTATTTCTCTTCGGTATTTCTTGATGGGTTTTTATTGTCTCTTGTTATCTTCCAGTTCCACAAAACAGAAAATCTGTATTTTTTGGTATACCAGTGCTTTTTTCAAAAAAGATAACATTTTCGTTAGCCTTTAATGTTATGCATTATCTGTACGTAATTTGCGTTAGACTTACATGCAGCTTCTATTTGTGTTATTACGCACTGAACATCATCTGGGGATGGCTGGCATGCTGCAAAGAGACAAAACACATATTTGTTTATGGATTTCATTGATACGAATTTTTAATTATTTAATCTAATAAGTGCTCATCAATTTATGACTGACGTATTAAGTTACAACTGCAAGTAAAAAAAAATAAGGGTATTTAAAATCATAATTGCTTATAAAAAGCAGCTTATTTATTTAGTATTTGGTTTCTTGGACAATGATCTATTTTAGTAATGCGTTGAAAACCGTGCTACGTTTGAATCCTAATCAATAGAGGCAAATTAGTGTTTCACATTTGGCACAAATTCAACGATTCAGTACTGGATATGGAATATAAAATTACACTGGGAGATAATGATACTTAGATATAGTTTGAAGTCGATGTAAGTCCTTGAATAGTTAGGTCGGTTTGTACATGGACTCTTGTGTAAACTGACAATGGTTTACTAACATCATAATTACGTACTAGTATTAGAAATTGATTTGACTTTAAAATGAAGTGCCTTTCAAGTTTTCCATAAGAAATCTTAAAAACATGATTTGGAAGAATTTGACATAGGAGTGCACCTCAATGGCATAATGAATCGTATCCTGAACCATCGCCGATGACATGTATAATGAATATACACATAGGGGTATAGTTATTATTTGATGTCACAGATCCCGGCAAGTAGTTAAGAAAACCCATTGGAAACAAACAGTTCTGTTTTGCTGTTCTATACATTTAATTGAAATCTTTTTTTTTCTGCTGCAAAATGATATCTGGGTCAGTCTGGAATAGATTCAGTGTAATTAATTATAATTACGCATATCATAGGCTCATACATAGATACTTATAGTATATAATCATGAGGGATGGAATATTGTCTCCATGGTTTATTCTTGATATTTAATATTATAGACACTAACAATGGCAATTTCAGTCACGAAAACTGAATTTGAAATCAAAATGAGATAGGCTTGGTTTTTTTTTAAATACGAATGTGCACATTAAATATCGATGAAAACATAATTCTATATTAAAGATTTTTTTGTCCAAATAAATATATAGTTACTATTTCATGTATTATTTAAAATTCAATAACAAATATAATGTAATGTAATAATATGAGAGCTTAAAGTTAAACTCCTTAAATATTTTACTTTGATTTTTAAATAATACAATTGTGACATACTTGTGACGTCACAGTGATGCCACACATTTAATTTTATCACTTTTTTAGTGGCCAAATTGGATTACCCTCTTAATTTATCGTTAAAAATATAACACTGTTCTATTTTTGCCCTCAAGAGGTAAAATAAGCCTCTTTTGAGAAGAGACAATTATGAAGAAAAAAACATTTGTAGTCTTACCTGGTAAGTAATTGTCGATCAAACATTGCAATGTACCAGATGAATTATAGCAATTGTTTACAATATACTGTACAGTGTTTACTGTTATGCTTGATGTTGGCACGATGGATGAACTGGATGATGGTGTTATTGAGCTTGACATACTTGTATATAACGGTGTGTCTGACATCGCTGACGTAATAACAGAGGATTGTGGTGTTTCAACGGAATTTGATAACATCTCTGTCGCTGACGAATACATTACAAAAGATGACATTAGAGACGACGGTTCAATTGACATCATTGATGACGGTTCCATTGCCATCATTGAGGATGATTCCATTGCCATCATGGACGAAGGTTCCATTGCCATCATTGAAGATGGTTCCATTGACATCCTTGATGACGGTTCCAATCCCATCATTGACGACGGTCCCATCGACATAATTGATGACGGTTCCATTCCCATCATTGACGACGGTTCCATCAACAGCATTGACGACGGTTCCGTTGCCATCATTGACGACGGTCCCATCGACATCACTGACGACGGTTCCTTGGCCATCATTGACGACGGTTCCATTGCCATCATTGACGACGGTTCCATCGACATCATTGATGACGGTTCCATTGCCATCATTGACGACGGTTCCATTGACATCATTGACGACGGTTCCATTGCCATCATTGACGACGGTTCCATTGATATCATTGACGACGGTTCCATTGCCATCATGGACGACGGTTCCATTGACATCATTGACGACGGTTCCATTGACATCATAGATGGTTCCACTGACATAATTGATGACTCTTCCATCAACATCATTGACGATGGCTCCATAGATATCATTGACGATGGTTCGATTGCCATTGACATCATTGAGGATGGTTCCACTGACATCATTGAGGATGGTTCCACTGACATCATAGACGGTTCCATTGACATAATTGATGATGGTTCCATTGACATAATTGATGACTGTTCTATTACCATCATTGACGATGGCTCCATAGACATCATAGACGGTTCCATTGACATCATTGACGATGGCTCCATAGATATCATAGACGGTTCCATTGACATCATTGACGATGGATCCATTGACATCATAGATGGTTCCATTGACATCATTAACGATGGTCCCACTGACATCATCGATGATGGCTCTATTGACATTGACATCATTGATGGCTCCATTGACATTGACATCAAAGATGGTTCCATTGACATCATCGATGATGTTTCCATTAACACCATTGATGACGATTCCATTAACATCATTGACGACTGTTCCATTGACATCATTGACGACTGTTCCATTGACATCATTGACGAAAGTTCCATCGATAGTTCCATTGACACCATTGACGTAGGTTCCAAAGACATCGTTGACGAAGGTTCCATTATAAATGAAGAGTCCGTATATAAAGATGACATAGGCATCATGCTTATTGTATCTGAACTGCACTGACATTGATGTGACATCCAATCAGACGAAGATACCATAGATTGATCTGAGAGGATCGATGTCATGGAATACGATTGTGACTGATCTGATATTGACACCATGGAATATGAATCTGATATTGACATCATAGAATACGAATCTGATGATTGAACTAATAATGTCGTCTCAAATGATGCAGATTGGAATTGCTGTGTCATTGACGTTGAAAACATTTCAGATACAGGACATTGACATTCTTCAGATAGAAGAGTACCGGAGATCATATAAGACCATGACATTGCTGATGAGGACATTGGCATGATGCTGTCTGACATCAAAGGCACACTTTCGGACATAGATGTCATAATAGAGCTTGAATCTGTTTTCAAAATATTATAATACTTTATAATTTACAAAATGTTATGGTAATGTGTATTCTTTTGCATTCCAATATTTTTTCTCAAGTCTATGATTTTACTTTTTCTATCAGTGTCATTAAAAATATATACAGATACTGATAAATAGATAATAAGTATGTAAAACGTATACATCCTGTTTTAAAGAGTTCAAAGTTCAGCCCTTTTCAACTGATTTTTATAGTTTGTTCTTATGTTGTACGATTAAACTACTGACCAATGTTAAAAGTCGGATGGGTGCTCACACATATTCTGTATGTGCCTGTGCCTGTGTCCCAAGTCAGGAGCCTGTAATTCAGTGGTTGTCGTTTTTCGTTTGTTCATGTCTGTCATATTTGTTTTTCGTTCATTGTTTTGTACATAAATCGGGCCGTTAGTTTTCTCGTTTGAATTGTTTTACATTTGTCATTTGTCATTTCGGGGCCTTTTATAGCTGATTATGTGGTATGGGTTTTGCTCATTGTTGAAGACCGTACGGTAACCTGTAGTTGTTACCTTCTATGTCATTTGGTCTCTGGTGGAGAGTTATCTTATTGGCAATCATACCACATCTTTTTATTTTTATATTAACCTTTTTCTATATGTGTGTCTGTCCCGATATAGGAATCTATAGTCTGTGGTTGGTTTTTTGTGTTGCCATGTGTCATACATACAGATGATGTTTCGTTCATTTGTAATAACAATTCAAATAAATCCAACACATTTTGACTTAAACATACAAACCTTGACTGATTACTGATTTAAACATACAAACTTTGACTGATTTCTGATTTAAACATACAAACCTTGACTGATTACTAATTTAAACATACAAACCTTGACTGATTACTGATTTAAACAGACAGAAGAAAATAACCACGTAAGTTTCCATTGCCTTTATTTCTTTCTTTTGGTGATATTTCTGAAAACAGAAAATGTGCCAACATATCAACAATTTGAACAGTTATCGCCAAACCTAAATGGTAACTAAAGCAAATAAATGTGACTATCTGGGCTTCAAATGTCTGACATTTAGATTGATTTTAAATGCGCATCCGTTTGGCAGTACAAAATTGAGGAAGGAAGACGTTTATCCGATGCAGTATACATGTCACCCTCTCTGTACGTGTACTTGTTTTTTCGAACCAACTCTTGGGAAGTATTTGTAAGCGACCTGCTGTAAAAAAAATCAGTCTATGGAATGAAGTGTTAATTTCCAGTGGCAGTCAAAACTGTTTGTTTTCTCTCCCTGTTTCTCCATTTCAAAGCTTCAACCAATATATATAGCTTCACTTGTTCTCGTTTTCAATATGGATTTTATTAAAAAAATGTTTTAAAACTTCAAGTTTCTTGAAGTTTTGGAAAGTTATTTCTCTTGAATTACTTGTTGTGTAAATATAAACATCTTTGGCTATTTAGATATTTATGTTGAATAAAATAAAGAAATGTGCATCTCATGGAACAAAATCGGTCCGTTTTACACTGATTCACTATTGAAATTTCGCTAAGACTCAATAACAGTTTTGTAATATTGTTAGTACAAGAAACTTCCAGATAATCGACCTTGTTGTATATCACTAGAGGTTTCTTGACAGATTTTAAAGCTTATTAGTTAAAAAGTAATAGTAATAATAATAAAGAAAGGAAGGGAGAAAGAAATATCATAATAAAGAGTAAAACTAATGCATATTTCAACAGCAAAGTCGAGAGTAATTTAATACTTATGACATGTTAACTCTCCTTTTTCTTCATTTGTCAGAACCTGTTTCCGTTAGTTGCAATTTGTGATACTTAACTTCCGTTTAAGGTTATAAGTTTACATCGGGTCGTTTGCTTTATCCCGGTCCTTTTATTCTTTATCCTTATTTGATTTTGCTCATTGTTGCAGGCCGTAGGTGATCTGTAACTGTTCTCGTCTTTGTTTTTGGTCTTTTCATGTGGATAGATGTCTGAAAATTATATTGTAATTATTCTGCTCATTTTGGGTGCCGTGATTGGCAAATAAAGTTATTCATTATTTGTTGTTTGTTTGTTTGTTTTGTCTAATTGGGAACCATCTCAAATCTCTTTATTTTTTGTCATAGAAAAGTTAAGCTACTTTGTATAGAACGCCACAGCTGTCTTATGTGGAACTCTGATATTACTTTATGTTGTTTTATTATTACTTGATGATATTTTGTCTTTACTTAATATGGTTTTGACATTACGTTATGATGTTTTGATATAACACAATATGGAATAGTCATTACTTAATGATATTTCGATATTACACGATATGGTTTCGTATTGACTTGATATAGTTTTGTCATTACTCAATATGGTTTTGTCATTACTCGATGTGGTTTCACCATTATTTAATGTGGTTGTGTCATTAGTCAATGTGGTTTTAACATTACTTGATGTGAATGTGACTTAACGTTATGTAGTTGTTTCATTACATGATGTGGTTTTGTTATTTCGTAATGATGATTTCCCGAATCTTTATATGGTTTTAACATTACGCAATGATGTTTCAAAATTTGACGATTTTACACTACATGATGTGTTTGTTTCATTATTTGATGTGGTCATGTCATTCTTTGATGTGGTTATCCCATTACTTGATGAGGTAAAACCACGTGACCAATTCGGAAAAAAATATGTTCTATTTTTAAACAGATTTCAATATATCGTTTGTTTAATGTGCTTTGGATGGGTATCGCTATCCATTGAGTTAAAGTTCAAATTAAAGTTCGAGTGGTTGTTCAGAGTTATTTGGTATGAAAAAGGGGAACGGCAGACAATAATAAGAAAAAAAGTATTAAAAAGTTTACAGTATTTCGGACATAATTAAGATATCCCCAAACCACTTGGTCCTGTTGTTTTTATCCTAAGTTCTCAAACGGAAGCAGTATTTTTGTAATAAATTTGTGAAATATTCCACGGAACCCTGTGTCTCGTGTGATATTGCTGCTGTAAGTGTAAAAGCGTCATGTCGATCGGCTATACATTTATCTATACATTTATCGGTAAAAAAAAAAAATGTTTTTCTGTAAATGCTTTTTCTTGAAATTGAGGAATAAGTCCTATACAAGTTTTAAAACACTTCATGGAGGTTTACAAATTTATCATGTCAAAACAGTTTAATTCGGTTTTATTTAACTAAAACAAAACTGTATGGTTTTCAACAATGAACAAAACCCATACCCTATAGTAAGCTATAAAAGGTCCCGAAATGAAAAATGTAAAAAACTAGAAACCTAACGATCTATAGATAGATAGATAGATAGATACTATATTCTCTAAAAACTAAATACAAGTTTACAGGGAAACATACAATATAAATACAGATAAAATAGTCGAGGTAAACAAATACAGTATGATATTCTAAAAGTACAAAATTATGATGGCATACATGTTTAGTAACATGTATAATGAAAGGTTAAACTCAATAGAAATGAAAAAAAAATGAAGATGGAGACGCCGACGCCACTATCGACGACGAAATATAGGTTTGTTGTGTCTCATTGCTGCTACATTGATGTCGCAGGCTCGACACAAATCAAAAGACTTGAACTTTATTGTTAACAAATGAAACACTTCAAATCAACTCACACTTAAGTTACAGGGAAACGGGGGGAGGGGGGGGGGCTTGGACTAAGCGACAAAGCATCAATACTATAAAATAAGAATTCTCCGATTTTTTTTTAGCGTAAATGATCATTTGAACTTATACGAATCTCAATCTTTTATTTGTAATCAATTGAATTCCCTGATCTACCTCGCACTAATTGAAAAATAAACTTTTGGAATATATGTTTCACATGTGACGACGGACATGTTCCAGTGGTCGTAACCATCGTACCGTCATCTTTTCCTTGAATGTAAACTACCAAATAAAACCAAATCACTGGGTTTGTACTTTCTCGAATAACACGACGGGTGCCTTTCTGGAGCATCCGAGATCACCCCGATGGATTTATATTACCCAGTCATACCGATCTATTGAATCAGCCAAATGAAACTGTTTTGTATGCTACCGCAACTGAAAGTTGGGGGTCATATTGTTTTACCCCTGTCCGTCAGTCCGTCCGTCCGTCTGTCCGTCCCATTATGGGTATATAGTTATTCTTCATAACTCCTCCTACAGTTTGAATCCTAGGAAGTTTTCTCTTTACTGTCTGTTTGTAAATATATTGAAGGTGTGCATGTGGTATAATATTTTTATTATCTTTTGCTCTTTTGGGAGATAATCGAACTTTTTTTTGTCAATTTGGGGTATAAGCGGTTAAATGAGTTGAGTGCGGGGGCATCACTTTGTCTAGTTTACATTTTTTTCTCGTGTTGTGCTGTTACACAACTGTAACAGTCCGATGTAAGGTTAGGATTTAGCGCTCACATACATGTTAAACACCGCCACGTGCAATTTCTTTAGATGTACCTGCCCCAAGTCAGGAGCATGAAGTTCAATTGTTGTCGTTGTATAAATGTGTGTCTTTTTTTTTTGTAGATTGTTTATTTATAAATAAGACCGTTTGTTTTTTCGTTTGAATTTTTTCACATGGTGCATGGTGGCCTTTTGTAGCTGACTAAACGCTGTGTTGAAGGCTGTACGGTTGCCTATATATGATTTCTTACATCCACTGCATTTAAACTCTGGTGGATAGTTGTCTCATTGTCAATCACACCACATCTAACTTTATTTCAACTTTTATGTTGCCTTTTGTATACTGTAACATTGTTTATCTTTTGTGTGCATACCCCGGAGCCCTCTTTTCGGAAGCCCGAGCAAAAATCCTTGTTCCGCGATAGAAAATTTAATTACGAACTCATATAAGATAGCTCGAATTTCAACTCAAAATCTTAATTAATCTAAATGAGACTTAAATTCGAATCTTACTCAAACTCTACCTCAAAAAGTGACTCAAATTTAATGTTGTAAGAACTCTACCTTTAAATGTGACTCAAACTCGAAGTCCAACTCGAAACTCAATGCTAACTAAAACTTTAATTCTAATAATGACTTGAATTCGAAATCGAAGACTAACTCAAAGTTTAACTCAAACAGTAACCCGAACTTTAATTTGAACTCTAATTCGAAGGATGGCCACACTCATCCAAGGCACATACAACATGGAAATCTATCTAAAAATAGAACAGGTTTTTCCGAATTGGTCACGTGATTTTACCTCATCAAGTAATGGGATAACCACATCAAAGAATGACAGGACCACATCAAATAATGAAACAAACACATCATGTAGTGTAAAATCGTCAAATTTTGAAACATCATTACGTAATGTTAAAACCATATAAAGAATAGGCAAATCATCATTGCAAAATAACAAAACCACATCATGTAATGAAACAACTACATAACGTTAAGTCACATTCACATCAAGTAATGTTAAAACTACATTGACTAATGACACAACCACATTAAATAATGGTGAAGCCACATCGAGTAATGACAAAACTATATTGAGTAATGACAAAACTATATCAAGTCAATACGAAACCATATCGTGTAATATCGAAATATCATTAAGTGATGATTATTCCATATTGAGTTTTATCAAAACATCATAACGTAATGTCAAAACCATATTAAGTAAAGACAAAATATCTTCAAGTAATAATAAAACAACATGAAGTAATATCAGAGTTCCACATGAGACAGCTGTGGCGTTCCATAATTTTGTTATATTATGCATTACTACGACAACTTAAATTTAATATCTTATTTCCATATAAATTTGACCCAAGACAACCCCAAGTTTTCTTTCATATCTATTCCGAAGGAATCGTATTAAATTAGAGTAGTCCTTCCTATACTGAAATTACATTTCTTTTACCATGGGTTCATCAGGGCAACGACTTACCATTCTACATCATCCGTATATATGTATATATGTCTCATATACCAATATAACAATTAGCAGT